AATCTACATAAATAGAAAAATGTAAATAGAGAAGTGAGAAATGAAGATGGGTGGTAATCCAGGCGTCACACTAGCTCTCAACCATGATGTTCAATTTGTGTGGCAAAATATGAAAATAGAGCAGAAGGGTTATTTCAGTTCCAGGAATGAATTGATATCAAAAATACACATTTTTAAAAAGATTAGATTGTACAATGCAAACATTCAATGTGTTTCACAAACTGAAGCCAAAGGGATAAATTAATCAGGATCAATCTGTCTCTGTTTGCATTCGACTGTCCCAAATATTAGATATGCACAAATGGAGAAATGGGTAAACAGACAGATATAACAAAATAGAAATAATAGCATAGACAGTATCAGACTTTGGTCCAGACTTGCCAGAGGTTGTGAGCAGTGCAGCTTCTGGAGCCTCAGTCTGGGATCAACAGTGAAGCCGTTTTAAAACCACTTCTCCTGTTTTAAAAGCTCTGTAATTTGTATTATGAACATGCATCATCACAAACACACTGGCATACATTCAAGTAAAAATGCTAATCTTAGCCATACAACTGTTTAAACTCTCAGAATATTAAAAATGTCTTCTGAGTAAAGTAAAAAATGGAAAAAGGATGGACTGTTCGAGAAAAATCTGCTGTGCAAGTTAAAGCATCTGATTATAAAAAAATCCTCCTGTGCCATACACTTGCTAACACGCTTTGAAAAATCAAAGTCCAGGTGAAATGACACTGAGCGTGTTGGTGGTGTGACACAGAGTCGACTCAAAATAAAGTCTGGGTGTAGTTCCTCCCTCTCTGCATCTGTCTCTCTGACCCCGTGGCCTCTTCACCTGCACTTTCTCCACAGCTACGTCCGCTCCGCACTAAAGTTCATCCTTGTAGGCAGCTGACAGCATCTCGGGTGGCGGAGCCGCTCCTTTCAGGGTCTTGTGGGAGCCCCTCCAATCTGTGCGTACAGAGTCATCGTCCCACAGCGTGGACGTCTCTGTGTCGCTCACCCAGTCCGGATCTCCGGCGTAGTGGCACGGCTGGACCACGAGGGGGCGTGTACTGAAGGCTTGTAAGTTTCTGTTGGGGAAGTGGGACTTGTAGGCATCACTGCGGAGAGAGGACAGTCGTTAGAGATCACATGGATTTCATTTGAGACTATAAATCCTAATAACAGTTTGTAAAATTGCGTCACAGATTTACTATTTGTGCACTTTTACCTACAATTCACTGTTAATCCCTAATATTATTTTGGACCTCATTTAAAATACATGCATTTGGCTGATTGGTAACTTTGAGCATGAAGGACGACAGCAGAACCAACCGTGCATTCTTAGCAGACCAGTCAAGCATATTGAATTTGAATCACAGAGGTGAGAGAGGGAGGAAGAGACAGAAAAGAGAGAGGGTTGGTTTGAAGCCAGTTTTCCACACATGATGAAGAATGTCGTCACTGCAAAACACTCCGTTCTGCCGGCCCCTCAGCCCTGGGTCCATTTCATCTCTTACAGTCTGCAGCACCTCATATGCGTCTCATTTACTCTGCTCCGTCATCACTGTGGCATGATGGGAAACGACCGAGACTCTCAGAGCGAGCAAGGCCCTGCCAATACACACGCTCAACCAATGACGAATCAGTTCCATGGAGGAGGCGGGGTGTATGATCTATACTGCAGCCAGACACCAGGTGGTGATGAAGCGGGTTTGGCTTCACTTTTGAGGAGCTGTCATGTCGTCCTTCTTTATTTACATTCTATCATCATAAAAAGTTTTAGACAAATCAAAAGTTTGACCTGATGGTGTTTAAGTTATTGAAATTCACAAAGATGGGGACATGAATGTATGGATCAAGTATTTTTCAGAATCCATCCAGCATGGCTAAACATCCATATATTTTTTATCTTTCAGCACAAGTCTGCCACAAGCACATCTGAATCCCGTCTGTCTGGCAACCACACTGGCTAAAAAAAGTCAACATCCATATGGCCAAGTCAAGACAATCACTCACAGAGAGAGTTGCAGCCAAGAAACCTGTACATCATAAAAAGAAAAATGTTCTGAAAGAGATTTATTTTGAAATGTGGTTTCTTTGTCTATCTTGGAAAGTTCTGCATAATAAACTGACAAGAATAGAGATTGTGGCCGTCCTCTCAAAGAAACCACAGACTTCACTATAGCTCTTTAATCTATTCCTCATTAAAAGGTTAAATATATAGCGTGCATACAAGTTTAGGCAGCTATAGGGAATGTTTGCAGGAATTGTTTTTAACTTTATATGTCTGGGGGCAGAGGAGGCGGCTGAGAGACAAGGTTTGCCTGAGAAGAACATGAGTTACTAAAACAAGATAAGAAAGTTAGGAGGTGTGCATGCATCAGTACAAGAAATGAGCAGCTTCCTGCCAGTGGCATCCGTTCTGTTGTCATACATACTTGGGATGCTTGTCATACATGATGGGGAGGAACTCATCCACAGGCAGCATCTTGGAAAGTGGTTCAGCGTTGAGCAGTTTCTGGGCTCCTTGCAGAGAGATGGCATAAGACAGAGTCCAGTACGAGTAGTCGGCGTACACCAGGTTACGAACGTTCTCCACCTCCTTCTCGTTCCCAGGATTCACCTGTTTCCTGCCAAAGTATCTGCAGCAGAAAGACGGAGGGTAAAGAAGAAGATGAAGGAGTGATGCACACACTGAATGTGCTGGCAACTTTTTATTTGCAGCATTTGTTCTGCTCATGTGTCGTGACTATTTTAAGAAAGTTATGGAAACAAAAATACACACAAACAACAATCTGGTGCACTTCCCGCTTCCTGCTGATACTTTGAAAACATTTTCATCATGTCTCAATCCGAGAAACTAAAAAACAAATACATGCCTGAACAAGACTGTTTAAGTCTGTATTAACACACAGTGTGTATTTTTCTGCCACTAAGAATAACAGGAGAGGGAGTTTGTTGTCTCAATCACCATGGCCTTCAATGCACTCAGCTTCTCCCAGTTTGGATCCCTTCAGAGTTTGTCCGAGTTAACAGAGTTAAAACAGCCCAAAAAAGATTTATAGTAAAAGTGTGGCTTAAAACTGGATAAATATAAATACATAACTCAGTTAAATATACTACACAGTTGTTTTTAGACAATATAATGCTGAGAATTTCAAAGTATACCTTTAAATAAGCTATGAGTGATCTGTTTTGCTTCTCTGAACTTGGATTTTTCTTCTGGCTCTCTCACACAACTTTCCTCTGAGGATACTTTATATAAACCTGATGTTATCCGTCTTAGAACAGGGGAGTAAAGGACGCCTTACATGATGTCCCAGTCGAGTTCCACCTGCTGCACCTCCTCCAATAGTCTGAGGACCCGTCGTTTGAAGTTGGCCTGGAAACGGACATCGTCTTCTAAGACGAGCGCTTTATCCATCTGCTCGTCCACCATCTGAGATGAGCGGAGAAAAAAAAACCACATCATGTCCTGTCAGGTTTAATTTTAGGATCCATATTTATTTAGTAATTAGCAAATATACTAAAATAAAATCGCCTATCATCTACTTGGCAAAATCTTAGTATTGGTTCTTGAAATTAAACTAAAAATGTCAAGGATGGCAATGAATGCCATAAAAAATAAAAAAAAATCAATCTGCCCATATAATCTTACTACACCCTATCCCGACAACAGAATCCAATTATTTGTCCCATTCATTTTATTGTTCACTACACACAGCGGTCGGCCGTGTCCATAAAGACCCCCATGTGTACCGTGTGTGTCCGCTCACCTCCTTCCAGATGAAGTAGTGGCTGAGGAAGCAGCCCACCTCTCCTTTAGTCAGGGTGCGTCCAGAGAACGGGTCGTAGTAGCCCGGTAGCAAGTCAACACCCAGGATCTTAATGTCACTGCTGTTCAGTGCACTGCACACACACACACACACACACACACACACACACACACGCACACGATGTTATATTAATCATGGTGGAAAAGATAAAGGATCCATGAACCTACAGGAAAAACAATATTCCTGTGGTGAATTTCATTTTCTCTCAGTATCTGCTTTGATTTTTCTCTTTTTCTCGTGGAAACACTCCAAACACACTTTCCAGTGAAGCCAGTTCAGCGTCGTCACTGTATTTAGTGCTGCACTTACTTTCCATCCACAGCATCCACCACCTTCACATCGATCTCCAGCTCGTTCAGAGAGAACAACATCCGGTCTCTGCGGTCCTGACGGCGCCGCAGGTTTATCAGATATATCTGAGACGAGGACGACAAATGGACATTTAACTCTATAAACTGCAAGTCCACTGTTCTTTTATAAACTCCACTCATCCAGGGACAACTTTTCACTTCCACTTCTATCAGCATCCTCACACTGGATGCAGCTAAAACTCCTCACATGCTCACATCAGTCCATACTAGTGAGTAAAAATATATTTGATCAAAAGGTTTAATTGCAGGATTTTAATTGATAATATTAAGAAAAGAGGAGAACATTGTATTTTTGTAAGTCCAGTTGAAAATATCCTTTACCTCATCAAAACCCATGAGGTCTCTCTGTTTGGGGAACATGTGGACATAGCGAGACTGGCGCATGGGAGGACCGTCAACTATTTGACAAAGAGGGTTCATGAGTTAGAAGACAAGAAAATCAAAATTTAAATAAAGCTAAAGCGACACAAGACAAACACGTGGAAACGAGACAAGGATTACGAATAGTTTCTTGTACATAAGATGGTTTATGAATATAAAAAAGTAGTGAATTCAGTCTGTTCTTACTCATGGACTCAAGGTGGATGTGAACAAAGTTGAGGCGATCATCCTCCAGGGTATGGTGAGGTTTGGCCGGGACGTTCAGGTAGCCGTAGCGCTCCTTGTTGCACAGGTACATCTGTATCTCTGGGGATCAACACACACAAAATGAAGAAAAGATGAGACAATTACTGTGTCAAATCCTTGTTTTCCCACTTGGACACATTGAACAGAATGAAAAAACATAAACGAAGCAGCGAACCTTCAGCTCGACAGGAGAAGGCGAACACGATGATGTCGTCGTAGGGCCAGGAGTAGTCCTCGTGAGGAGGGAAGAAAGCCAGGTTCTTCATGCCCTCCTTCCTTAGATCCAGCAGCACAGTGGAGTGGACCATGGGCACCGGGAAGCAGCCCAGTCTGTGACGGTGACGGGTGGGGAAATACTCGGCTGTTCGACGATAGTATCCCTGAATAGGTGCAGTATGATAACTCTGAATGTAAATTAACTCGTGTCCATGCGTCCAACTTTTTCTTAAATTTTTACTTTCCGATTTATTCACACTGACCTGCGGAGTGATGCCGCACCAGTAGTTGGAGTAGGCTCCCTGAGAGTCTAACATGGGAGCGATGACAGACTTGTTTTCTGCGATCATCAGGTTGAGTGTTTCTGGGTTGGTGAGGATATTGTCAGTGTCAACGTACTGACGCAGAGACGCAAAGAGATGGAGGAAACAAAAGAAACAGGAGAGAGATTGTATATAACGGCAGCAAAGGAGGAAACAAATCCAACCATAATGTACCATATGAATTATTAATTATTCTATCAAGTACCAGGATGTAGTCGGCCCAGCGTTTCCGGGCGAAGTTCAGTGCTGCTTGCTTCAGCTTCATCACATACTCGTATCTGCTGTTGGGCCAGTGCTTAGGACCCAGCTCTCCTGCATAGGACCTGAGACACACAGAAACACAATATATGTACCATCTAGAGCTTTGGCAGTCTTATCCACCACTCACAGTGCTTTACAGCACAAATTGTATTCACCTGTTTACACCCGTTTCATATACAGCACTTTTTCCTATCACACAACATTCATACACTGTCGGTCGCAGCACCAAACCATCAAACCACCAACCTGCTGTTTAAAGGACGACTCTCTACCAGCCACAGCCGCCCACACACATATATATAATCATGCTTTTCTGTTGTACTGATTTGTTGTAATTTGTTGGACTAGAGGTTTTCCAGGAGTCCAGACTTTATCATTGACATGCAAACACAAATTATTCCCACTAATGGCCTCCTGGGCTCAGACAGGTGTCCGCACAGGCAGACGCGTCCGGACAAGCAGCAGCGTGCGGCATCATTCCTCATTATGCAAAGACAAAATAGAGCGACCCCACCGAGGCTGATCTACAGAGTGCGAGGCTATCAAAGTGTCAGCTAATAAATTTTCCCCGTGCATGTAGGATAAAAATCCTGAATGAGCGAGAAGGAAGCTTCAAGTACAGCTCTGAGCTGCACCATTAGCAAGGGGCTTAATTTATTTCATTACTATGTGTATGACACTTGAGGGAATCTTTCATTAGAGTCCTGGTGAAATAAAAGAGAGGCACCAAGCTTATTACTTTCTCCTCCTTCATATCAATGCATCTACGCAGATGTCTTTTGCTTGTTGAGCTGCAGGATCAGTATTGTAAGAAATGTTCAACACATAAATACTCACGTGGGCTGATCCATGGGTCTCCACTCGACATAATGGTAAAACTTCTGTGTGAAGGTGAGCCACTCTTTCAACATGGCTGTGGTGTTGTCAGAGTTGTGATCCGTGGCCGCCCTGAGGACACAGAGAGCAGATGGTTAAAATAAACAAACATGTGTGAAGTGCTGGTGTAACGGAGGGGATGGGGGCAGAACTTTGACATATATGGAGGATTTTCACCTCATACGACATCAAGAAATATAAAGAGAAATAAACCGGTAGATGATTCAGAGCCATGAAACAATACTGAGATTTTGCCATCATGTTTGTTGCGTGGTATTCTAAGACTAGAATGTCAATTCAAAAATCATTTAGCAGAACGACTCTGTGATAAATAACATTTTGAACATTATATTGTATATTGTATATTGCATTTGTAAGTAAGCAAGTATTTTTCTGGATTATAAAAGATTATTAATCTCTTTTTTAATTCATATTCTTTTAGAAATGTCACTTTATCCTGACTTTAATATTTCAACGTAAATTCAAGTTGTGATATTTTCTCAGATTCCTGCCTCTAGTGGAAATGGATATGAACATATCACCTACAGAACCATTATCACATTTATGAGTAATCATGTTACCACATCATGGATCATTTCAAGTGATGACATCACTTCATGTTTTGACAAATTAAACCTTAATAATAATAACACTATTTATAAAGCACTTCTCATACATAATGCATCTCAGAGCGCTTTTGAAAAATCTATTAAAAATAGATCAAATGAATAAACAAAATCAAGTAAAAGATACGAAACAATAAGACGTGCAGAATAAACATAAAGTAATTAAAGACCAGAAAAGCAAATCCACAAACAATAAAAAGGAAATAACACAAAACAGGATGGAATCAGGATTAAAACAGAGCAGTGGCATAAATCAACTGAGTGGAACAATCTGGTAAAACAAGGCTCTGGATCTAAGGGAAAGCCGGAGAACAAGAGTGTGTAGAGGGGTTTCATGGTCAGATGTGCAGTGGTGGTGTGTTCCATGGTTTGTTTGTTTGTTTGAGGATTTACAGGCAGAGCTGCATTGAAATGAGGGACACTCCGTGACACATCACCTCCAGCCATGTACACAACAGGAGGACAGCTCAGTTTGAGGGGTTCGATCTTGATTTTGAGCTGAAACACTCTCTGCAGAACAGGAACCCATGAAACCCACAGAAGGAAATGAATGTGGCAGAGAGAGAGAGGGGGAGAAAGACAGCCTGGACTGAGAGAGGCATAGGGGGGAGAAGGAAGAAAGAAAGGAGGAGGGGGAGAAGAACGAAGGCTGCTGCATTCACAGACTCATTTAAATGCCGTTGACCTTTTGAACGGCTGCAGCAGAGGGATTAAATAAGCAGGGGAGACCCGAGCAGGGGGACACGGAAGCAAACCCACCACACGGAGATGCGCTCTTTGGGGTAGTTGAGTCTCTCCAGGGCTCCGAGGTAGTAGGGCAGGGAGTGAGCGGTGTTGCGGGCTATGATCGCGATCACCACGGTGGGAGGCTGCACCTTCGACTCCTCCGGATACTTTTCCTCGGAGAAGTAGGAGTCTGCCTGGAGGAGCAGGGCCGCTAACGCCAGCAGGAGCGGGGTCATGGTGGCGGAGGCGCACAGGACTCACACGGCGGCTCCGCACTGGACGCGTCAGCAGAGAAGGTCCCAGGAAGAAGAGGGAGAGAAATCTGGGCTCTCCCCAAAAAAATCTCAACTCCACCTTCTGAATGAGCGAACACACTCGTTTTTCACGAAGTAACACGAAGTCAGCCGAGAGGTTCACTCACAACTTCCGCTTTACGCCCCGAGGCCCCAGAAAAAAGTTTTTAACCCAAAGATGAAACTTTTTCAAACTGTTATGAACCTGTGAGACACTGGAGACATGTCCTGCAGAGGGAGGACGCGTTTACACACTCAACAAACTACACATAAAGATTATTATCATTTTTATTATCATGCTCTCATGGGCCTTCTTTTTTTTAAATGAAAAATGAAAAATACAACGACCAAAAAAATTGCACATAAGTTTTAAAAATAAAAACGATCGAAATAAGATCGATTCAAGATTCAAAAGTCCTTATATCATCATCATTATTATGAATATTATTCTTGGTGGTAGTAGTTATAGTAGTTACTAATGGTAGTGATGGTAGCATCATGATGATTATCATTTGATGATTATTACCATATCTTTTTTTTTCCTAAAAAAAAAAAGTCACATTTTAGTTTTTGTCTGAAAATGTACTGAAGATCTTTGCTCCTTATTTAAGATTCAAAGATCTTTATATCATGATTATTATTAGTAGTAGTAGGAGGAGGAGGAGGAGGAGTTGTAGCAGTAGTGATGGTAGGAATGGTGATCATTATTATTATTATTGTAATTATTATTATGTAACATACTATATCATATATATATATATATATATATATATAGTATATAGTCAATATTAAATGTTTAGTCCACACATAAATAATTCATATTTAGCTTGAAGTGATTGCGGTTTCATCCACACTAAGAAAAGGCACTGTATTTAATGCAATGAAATATAATTTATAAGAAGCATGTTTGATTGATGGATTAGTTTGATTTGTCTGAGATGGTGAAATGTTGAGTGGGACCACTTCATTTAGTTTTAAATGCATTACAGAGGCTGACCAGCAGAGGGAGGGTTTGATCCAAGAGAGGGCCCAAGAGAACATATGGCTGAGGCCCTGGACCATGATGGTTCAGCCAGTTAATCACAATTATATGGAGAGGACACACACAACTTTGAATGTGTGAGGGTGAAATCTTACTAGTTACATTGCAGTTAAATATATATAATGCTTTGCTATAGCATGAGCATACAGTAATTATTGAAGTGAATTTAATTTTAAAACAAGACTCTTGTTTGCAATTCAGTTTCTTACACTGTGTTATTAACACTCTTACTTCAGTGAAGTATCTGGGTCTGTACATTTTGAACTGGGAGATTGGGAATCGTTTGGCATCATCCCTAATTTTCCCAGGGAATAATTCATGGATCTAGATGAAAAAAGTCACATTTAGAGGACTGATATCTATGAGTGTGTGTGTTTTATGCAGCTTGATTGAATTCAAGGAGACTGTTTGGCCTTGGTGCAGGTTTATACAGGCAGCACCATTAAGTAGGAGTTAAAATTAAAGATCAGCTCCATATGTAGCAGGGTCAAAGTTGCTTCCTGTGTGTGTTTGGTGTAGCTCTAAAACAAACCTGTAGTGTAGGCTCACTTATACTGATGGAGCAATGCTAAAAGTCACAATATGTAGAGATGACACCTCTAATGAATAAACAGATGTTTGTCAGTCAACACTGTTCTTTGATTTATTCATGATTTATTAATATTTCCTGCAATGTGCACTTCAGATTTTTTGCTGCAGGGGACCACCTTGAACCTCCTCCATGATCCTCAGAGGCCCCCGGGGCCCAGACCGACAAACACAGTGGTTGACAGATTTGTTTTCTAAAGAAATTAAAGAAAAAAAAGAAAAAAATCTCAATCCATCATTGGTCATACCCAGTTTAAGTCATCATTGACCAGTTTGTAGATGTCGAAAATGTTAAATAACATGCATCGTACCTCTGTATGATCATTCAAATGAAACACGTGTTAACATAATTGGAACCAATCATCTAAATTAGGCTAATTAGCCACAAAATCATTCAACTAACGATCTATATTACAGAAACAATATCAGATCTATCATCATCAGTCACTTCCAGCAGTTCACCCTCACACTGTGCACATATACGCACATCGTTAGGTCTCAGAGGAAATCTTATGTCGAATGTAAAAATTAAAAAAAACATAAATAAAGTAGGAAAAATACATTTTAGTTCGAATGTGCAATCCACTCAGAAGTCAAGTGAAAATTCAACATCGGACGTTGAGGTTGACGACAGGGAAACAAGGAGTGATGGGAGCAGGAGGAAGAGAATGCTGAGGAAATAAGAAAAGAGGAGAAGCAGAGACGGTGGAAAATAATAAACAAAGTGATATATAATGAATTTGGCCTCTTATGGTGGGCCGCTGTGAATAAACTGAGGCAGCCACCACTCACAATAGTGGCCGTGGGTTAAAAGGCTCGTTTGTGTGGACAGGTCAGGCGGTTGAGGGTCAAATCTCTCCTATTCATGACACCCCAAGTGTTTCCACAGTCGCACATAAACACACACTCGGACACACACAGATATATGTATGACAAGGGGCACTTTCCCATGCGTTTGTGGCGGAGGCCGATCTGGGAGAGTTCAACCCCGGGTGCACTAACTTTTCACAGCGAGGTCAAGGGTGGAGATGGCGTTTGTGTGTAGGGGGGTGTGTGAATGAGGGACAGAGGGAGTTCGGAGGAAAGGAGAGAGAAAGAAAAAGGGGAGAGGGGAAGACAAAAGGAAAACCTGTATTGTTTTGAGCAGATTGCACAGGACAGATTGAAAGAGACAAAGTGGATGGATGGCGTACACGACCATCTCAGATGTGTAGTGTGGCTTCATTTGACTTGTTAAATGGTCACTGCAAAAACACATTATCTCATTTATTTTATTTGAGCATGTTTTGAGATAAAAACCCTTTCTTGCCTCTGTCCAAATACAATTTTGAAGTGGGGACATCATTAAAAAGTAGAAAATCTAACCTCAATGTTTCCCACCTACATATAACTCTGGATAATCCACGGACCTCAGTGTAATTACTTTTAGCGGAACTGTATACGTTTGTTAGTTAGTCAGCAGAATTACACAAAAACTTTTGTTTATTATGAAACTTGGTGTGAGAATGTGGAAGCTGTCAGGACAGAGCCTCTTATATTTTGGTGAGGATCCAGATCAGGGGGTGGATCTTTAAAATAAAATCTGAAAGACATTATATTTATATAAGTGTTATTTTCTATAAACTAGTATAGTTTTTACAGGTCTGGATAACAATCCAAATTTTGTGATCTGTATTCAGTTACTGTACGGTAACAAATATTTGATAAAGTGATCGCTCAGCCTCTCGTTTGTGGATCATACTGCGTAACACTAATGATTTTTTCTTGCTGGACACAAAACCAATGAAACCTAAAGTGGAATTGTAGCAGAAATCTAAAAATTTGTGCAAATAATAAAACCAAAACCTTTCATCGCGGCTGAAAAACAGTTGTTTTCTGGAATGTGGGTGAACTGACCCTTTAAAGCATAGTGGGATGGGTGGGGGGTCTATTAAGGGCCCACCACTCATCCATGTTCACACACATCCTCACCCAGCCAGGCAGTCACCATGCTGCCGTTCTCTCTTTCATCTCTCCTTTGTCCAGTCAGAAAGCTTGAGTTAGTGTGAGAGAACTGCAGGTTGGGATGTGTCAGAGTGAAAGTGTTTCTGTCTTTGTGTGTGTGTCTGTCTGTGTGTGTGTGTGTGTGTGTGTGTGTGTGTGTGTGTGTGTGTGTGTGTGTTGGGACCTGGGCCTGGAGGCAGCAGAGAGTCGTGACATTCTCACAAGCTTCCGGGACCTTTATTGCTGTGGCAATAATCAATAGCATTCCCACAGAGACGTCTTTTGGCTGGGCGGGTCAATACCTGTCACTCAGGGTCTGAGCCATGGCACATACCCTCTTACTCAGCAGCTACAGCAGCAGCTCTGCTCCTCCCATGTCAACATATGTGTGTTTTCAGAAGTGGCATGTTCTCACCGTGTGAGGAGTCGTATGTTTCATTTGAACTCGTATCCATTTGAGAAGCTGTATCTCTGACTCTTTCTGCTTGTGTGGAAATATCGAGTGACTATTATTAGTTATTTTGTCTGCACCAATTCATCTTTTGTGTATTCATCAATTTAACCAAAACACAGTGATATTCTATATACATAATGTCATAAAGAGAGAAAAGCCACAGGTCGTGTTCCAGGAGCTCGAACCAGCTCCACTGGAGATATTTAGATTATTGTTGAAGATCTCGAGGGTGGTGCTAAGAAGCTCATTCTGTAAGAAAGAAGAAGAAGTGCCCACAGTTAGATTATGACAGGATCTGGTCAAATTGTCCTCATCACTGACAGTGTTTACAGTTTGTATTTCCATTAGCATGATTGTTTATGTGTAGTGATGCAATTTTTCTCAATAAACAAAAACTGTCAGCCCTTTTTTTCTTAATAAACGTTTCATTAATTTTTAACTAACTGGTTCCTTCTTATCTCTGAATACTTGAGGTTATTATTTTTTATTGTAGATTCATTCCATGAAAACGAAAAAACTCATAAAACTCTTTTAAATCTCGTTGTATGAACTTAAAATATTAAAACACTATTAGTGTTAAGTAAGAGGCAGTATTCTGCAACTCTTACTTTTATCTGATGCTGAAAATCTGTTAACTGCAGTGCAAGATGTTACTGAGGAGAGGAGTTTCTATTGAGTAAGAAAATTCAGTCAGGTCACTACGAAAATCTAAACTCATAAATACTTAAGATGTGATTAAATCATTGAGATCATTCATAAACTGTTATCATCTCAGCTATTGCATGTGTACAATATATTTCCTATCATTTTATGGGATGTACTTTTTGTCGCAAATGACTTCACTTACAGGTTCATGAATATAAATACCTGATGTTCACTGACACAGTTTTCTTGCAAATCAAACATAAGTAAACTCAGTGTTTGTTTTTCTGTGTGTAACGACAAATTCTTGACTTTACAGATGTTAGGTTTCTGGACATGGTGTGATGACGGGATGTCGTGACAGCAGGATCTGGATAAAGTGATATTCAGGCTCAAGCACGATAAAAAAAAAGCCAGTGCTCATTGAGTCCAGACTTTACACAACACCACTGAAACTGATGCTCACACTAATGCTCTGGAATAATTACATCATGAGGTCAGTGATACAAGTTTGATTGTATTATCT